GGAAAAAAACACGAACTTCTGCGGAGAGTAATGTTCGCATAGTAGGTGGCGGTAATGCACCTTAACGTTGGATGCCACCCGCCATAAAACATGAAGAAGAAGAAGAAGAGTAATGTTCGCGCTGCGCTGTTGTAACTGATCAGCGCCGCGCTGTCAGCTCGGTGGCGCTAGTAAACACGTCCTCTCTGCGCTGTCGAGTCGGTCGCGCAGCTCGGTCCATTGAGCCGCGCCTATGACAGGGCAGCGCAGCGCGAACACTTTAATACCGCGCTGTTTCGTACCACATTTGGGTTGTTTGGCTTCCCATAGTGAAACGTGAACTCGCGATGCCTTGAAAGTGAACAAAACCGGCTTTTTTGACAAAAACGTGTTTAGGGTTCAGATCTAATTTTTTTTTTTAAAGTGGCGTTTATCGGTTTTTGCAAACGACTACATATGCTAATGTATTAATAAATATAAAATAAAAACAAAAACTAACAAAGAACAACATTACCAGTATTAACCCCAGATTAATTTGCTTTCTGCAGAAGGAGAAATTCATGACATGGGGTGAGGATGAGTAATAATTATAATTAATAATTTGTGCATTTAGCAGACGCTTTTATGCAAAGCGATTTACAGTGCATTCAGACTATACATTTTTTTACCAGTATGAGTGAGTGATGCTATCCATCCATACAATTAGCTCTGCCAAAATATGTAAAATTTACTTTTAGGCTACTTTTGATACTTGAAATTTAAGTAGTTTTCAATATTAGTTACTTTGGTACATTTAGCATTCTTAAGTAGCTATTGTTCTGTCTTAATTTACTTTAATGTCCATAGAGGTAGCCTATTTTTTATTATTTATTTTTTTGCAGACGGATGAGGTATTATTATGTATTTTGTGCTTCTTTTTCTTCCTCTTCTTTTTATTGAATATTGTTAGATTTTAAAATGAATGACGGAATCATTGGAAGGAAGAGCTGCTGAAGCGATCGGCCGGCGCTAGTGCTGATTGGCTGCTGTGCGGGTGTTTTACGGTAGCGCGCGCAGGTGATTGACAGATGCAGAACATCGTCAGAGACACTGGCGGACACAGCACATATGACCACCGACTGACAGGTAAAAACAAACCCGTTTGCTTCTGTTTTAAAGTTGATCAGTTATGAAATAAGCACAGGGTGCAGGTGCAGAGAAAGCTGGGACATGCAAATTTAATGACATTCTGGCTATTTGAATAATATCAATTACAGTTCACATTTATTTATTTTCTGGAGGGTTTTTTTCGTCTTCACTTATAATGAAAGGTGTATCATTTTAGAGCACTTAAATTGATTCTTTTATTATTGATATATCAGTATTTGAGAAATGTGTAGGCTGCCATTTCCATTCTGGGTCACACTTTATTTTGCAGAGTTCATGTTTCCACGTACTTACTAATTACAGAGTAATTTTAATTAACTAAATGCATTTGGCGTGTAATTATTTCCGCTTGTAAATACTCGTTCTTGTTATCAATATAGTAATTCATTATAGTAACCTGTAAGTCTGTGTTGTATGTAACTATAACTTATAGAAATGAAAATGTTTTGGTATACTGTGTGGTCTACAGTATACTGACACTAATATGATTTTTTTTTTCTGTGATGTCTTTCTATTTGCAATGTTTTGTTCATACATACATGCATAGGAATTTTTAAACCATAAAGCAACCAAGACCCTTTATGGCACAATATACATAAAAGTTCTGTTCCTAAAAATGTGTGCAAGATTCACATTTGGTAACGGTTTCAAATTATGTTGAATCATAATTTGCAATGTAACCTTAAAGGTCCTATCAAGGTTAACCTGGAATTCTATTAGATTTGTTGTTTTATCATAATTCTTGTCTTGCTACTGGAATGTTTAGATAAAGTACAGAGGCATTTATTTCTGTCATTCATCATTAAAAAGTAATTTTATGTTTTAAAAGTTTTTTTTTTTTTTAAATATGTCACACCAACAAACACAAAAATTTTTTGTTTGGATATTGTGTTTGAACCATAAAAATATGTCACACCAACTAACACTAAATTGTTATTGGATTTTATTGGATCAGTGTGTGCTAGAAATTGTGAAAATGTTCCCAATTACTGTTTTCCAATAACTTAAAAAAAAAAATTTAAATGTTGGTGAGTTTTCTTTATATTTACATATTTTCTTATACTTAAAATTATCTAAAATTGAAGGAGCTGGCTTTTTTAGTGTCATAACTTTGACAAAAATATGAGCACATTTACCAATTTACATGTGGAATAAGGAAAAAGAATCATCAGGATAAAGACCATATCCCTTGATTTATAAATGTTTTCATAGCAGATGTGAAACCTTGTGAAAGAGCTAAATAGTTTATTTTAAAACATTTTTTTTTTAATTAATTACCGTTTTTCTTGATCTCTCATATGTATGACTTTCTTCTGTGGAACACAAAAGAAGATATTTCTGAAAAATGTATTTGTTTATTTGGCCATGTAAAGAAAGCTGTCCCATGTTGTCCCAATGAGCAGTTTTTGGTAACGGTTAGTGCCCAGCGTGTAAGGAAAAGTTTGGCATCAGCCTCTTTACATGGAGAGGTGAATTATGCATCCATTCACTCGCTCATAGGCAGATCTGTTTCACAGGGGCCCGCCCATTCATTAGACTCTCACTGTCTCTGATCGTCCCCAGACTGGAGGCAGTGGAGGTATCTGAAGCCACGTGTGCATTATGAAGGAGAACGGGTCCTTGTGTCAGATGGAGCAGCTGCCCTGTGCATGTCTGCTAGACTGCCACCGGCAGACCCACACCCGCAGCGCCGCAGGGGCCCCGATCCGACACAGAGCCAACGGGGCGGTGGGGGCCTTGTGCAACAGTCCCGACTGTGTGGTGGCCACCAGGCTGGAGGGCTCCGAGCAGGGCCGGCATGGGGCCGGCAGGGTGCTGGTCACCGGAGGGGCCGGATACTTCGGATTCAGACTGGGCCACGCTCTGGCAGGCCAAGGGGCCACAGTCTTTCTGCTGGACCTCCACAAGCCGCCTTGGGATATCCCTGATGGAGCCGTCTTCCAGCAGGTAAAGCGAAACCGGAGAGGACAGCATTGGTAATATAGGGTTGGGGGGCGGTTGGGCAGCGGACTGTAACAGAAGCAGATGGGTGCCAGGTGCAGAGGACGCAAGGTGAGGCAGCACAGCGGCCTCGAGTTTCAGCACAAGTTTTTAAATTGTTTTAAAATTGTTAATAGTCTTAAACCAGGTTTCTGCAGGTTTTGCTCAACTTCTTTTGTTTTTATGGGTTATGGTGTATGAGGATCACATGGTTGGATCAGTGGTTCTTAACTGGTGGGTTGTGGCCCCAAAAATGTGTGCCAGGTCTGTTCTTACAGCAGGGGGAAAACAATGCTCAATGCAACTAACAATATCATTGTTCATGGTTAGGATAGCAAAATAAAAAAGGAGAATCAAACAACATGGTATTACTTGATAAAAAATTACTTGCTATGCAAAAAGTACACTGACAGAGATTATTTCTGCCAACCAGTGAAACTTTGAATACTGGAATAGCTTGAATTAATTACTAGGGACCACTTATTTGGTTTTCGATACGATACCGATACAAAGGCCAGTATCGTTGGTATCGGTATCGATATTGATACCGATACGATACTTCTAAACTGAACTTTTAAATTATGAAATTTATTAAATTATTAAACTAGTAAAATGGGTAATGAAATCCACTTAACTTTATATTTTAAATGCATTTTAATGTTCAATACGCTTTAATTGCAACTTATTAGGTTATATTTTTGTTCACACATGGTTAAAATATGTTTACTGTAGTGGTAACATTGGAAATCTACAAATAGCTGAAGTATGGTCACTTTAGTAAAACCATGGTTCATTTTCATAAGGGACTGCCAGTGACAGGCTGTTGCATGCATAAAATGCAACCTTTTTATTCTGACAGTGTACACTCTAAAAAAATGCTGGGTTAAAAAGGGACAAACCCAGCTATTGGGTTGTTTTGACCCAGCTGTTGGGTTGTTTTGACCCAGCGGTTGGGTTGTTTTGACCCAGCGGTTGGGTTGTTTTGACCCAGCGGTTGGGTTGTTTTGACCCAGCATTTTTTAGAGTGTATGATTTATATTAACATTACAGATTATAACTTGCTCAATATGAACTTTTAACGTTCAATTTAACTAAATGTGTAATGTGCTACAATTTCAATTAGTTTATTGTGAAATAACTCAAACATATATGTTTTTTCTGTCCTCTGATAAGCATTGTTCAGGGCTGCCGTTCCCAAAAGCATCAATGGATTCTTATGATACTTTTGGGAAGCGCAGCCCTGTTTGAATGCACTGTCAGAAGTGAGTGAACGCTCTGTGATTGATTGGTTCTGTCTTGCAATATTTGCATGTGTTCAGATGAGCAGGAAAATTTCTATCCTGCACAATTATTCGCTAACATAGCTTATTTGTCCAATTCAATGCATATAAGTATATATATAAATAAACAAAATCACTGGTAAACCTTAGTATCGATATTTTTTATATGAGTATCGATACTTACGATACTCGCATCAGGATCGATACGCCCATCCCTTTTAATTACATTTGATTACATTTAGAAACTAAAATTGTCAATTTTTGTATCCAGTCTATGTCCCATTAATAATTTTTCAGATTTTTTTTTTGGATCATAGTAATATGAATAACTTTCATGTTGGATTTGATGGGCATTTTTGCAACTTTTTTTTTTTTTGTAACTAATGCTTTTAATACCATGTCCAATGTAAAATGTGTGTCCTGAAGCAAAACCAGTTGAGAACCAGTGGATTAATGAAAAGAGTTAGCTGATCAAAAAGTAATGATTTAGGCAAATTGTTGTGGTTCTATCTAGGCCAAATCTAAGCTAATTAATAAAGCTTTAATTAATAAACCCCAGTCAAGTATAATCTGAATATTCATTCCCAGTTTTATAACAATTCAGAAGAAAATTGGAAGAAATATATATATCGTAATGAATAATTTTATATTGAGAATACAACATTTTATATTAATTTTTTTTACATAGCTGTTTGAATGGGCATTGTTATGATTCAGTACATCTGTGTGTGTTTTACTTCAAGATTGATATCCGGGATTATGATGCCCTGTATAAGATCTGTGCAGGAGTGGATGTTATTTATCACACTGCTTCCTATGGGATGTCCGGACCTGAACAGGTCAGTATGTTAGTATATACATGTAGAGCATTTTAGTGTGCATAAAACAGGCCATATCACATCATTAAAATTGCTTGCTAAATTATTTAATTTCATAAGAACTCATATTGGCAGTCTTATGGGTGAAACTTCAATTAGCTTTTAAAGTTCAGTTAGCTTAAAATGCTTTCAAATCATTCTTTTATTATATCTTGTAGGCTACAGGATGGATAATACTAGCTTCAAAGTTAAGTGTACTTATGTGTTTAATAATATCTTTATTTAGGATTTGTCTCCTACTCATATTTTAACTTCCCCAATATAATACATTTAGAAATACTGTCAAAATCGGTCAAATAAGTACTTTATAAAAATCATATTTTCTATTAATTACATATTTGTGTTAGAACTGCTATTTTTTCTTGACTTTTTTTCTTTTGATGTTAAGATGTTATGTATGTTATGGTCACTAAAGACCCGGGGCCTGTACCATGAAGCCGGATTAGCTGGCTAGCCAGGTAAGTTTCAGTTTAGTTTGCACCAATCCTGGGTTTTAGGTACCATGAAAGTGGCTTGGCTTTTAGCGGTGTTCATTGCCATGGTAACTTACACTCCACGGCTAACCTGCTCCGGGGCAGGTTACGTTCTGAGTTAGAGATCTCAAACTGAAATCGGACCAATCAGATGTCTGACACAAAAAAGTCACTCCC